TTAGCCAGAGATCAACCAATATTCGAATTTAATGAATTGGAAAAATTGTATCAATTACTATTATTTTCTACCGAAATGATTCTACAAAATTTAACAGAAATCTTATAATGGCTTTTCTCAAAAGTGGAAGAATTTTATATACACATTTGTTTTTTATTTTAGGTTAGTTTTTCTTTGGTAGGTAAAATAACAGTATAATTTAAGTAGGTAGATATTGTATCGTTTTAGCATCAAGTTTAAATGAAAAATAAAATTGCATTATCTCAAATAATTTTTTTATTATTTATCTGTTAAGATACAAAAATATAAATTACAAATCGCAATATTTTGATTAATTTACCTCTAAAAACCTAAGCGTGTGGCAAGGTATATAGGTAAACGATTAACAACGTATAGTTTGTGTTTAAAACTAATTATACCATAATAATTACTTAGAACATATTAATTTAAAACAAAACTTCGGTTTATCGTTGTTTACAGATGTAAATAGAATAAATTTATGGACCCTCCTCCTCAATTCCCCACCTACAACCCGTTCCTAACTATACTTGTTAGTATTTATTTAATATGAACTTCTCAACAAAAATGTACAGGAGAGAGAATATATGTTTCGTACAAATCCCCATGATTTTAAACGGATATTTTGAAAAAAAATAAAAGCAAAAAAATGCCAACGGCACGCAGTGTTCCCAAGCGGTCTGTTTACAGATGTAAATAGAATAACTTTATGGATCCTCCTTCTCAATTCCCCACCTATAACGGTGGTAAACCCGTTCCTAACTATACTTGTTAGTATTTATTTAATATGAACTTCTCAACAAAAATGTACAAGAGAGAGAGAATATATGTTTCGTACAAATCCCCATGATATTAAACGGGTTTTTTGAAAAAAAATAAAAGCAAAAAAAAGCCAACGGCACGCAGTGTTCCCAAGCGGTCACCCATCCAAGTACTAACTGCGCCCGACGTTGCTTAACTTCAGTGATCGGACGAGAACTGGTGTATTCAACGTGGTATGGCCGTTGGCGAAAATCTGTATTCCTATCAAGTTATTTAGACATTTTACTTATGCTCCTTATTTCTATATAAATTTGAATATTTTTTGCGTACTAATTGAATCTGTATTAATATTCACATATCTGGACTTATGTAAGTGTTTAACGGAAAATACTATTAGACTATTATTATATATTATAAGGTGATTACAAATGCACCAAGTATGACCACCGTTTTTTATTTATATTTAATTATGCAGTTTTTGCAGATTTATACAGATTTTTAGAACTTTTAACCACGTATTCTTATAGATAGATTCTGTATTTTTAAATACTTTTAGTTTGAACTATAGGTTGCGAAAAAAACTTCTATATCACAATAACGAAAACCCACTTTTTTAATAAAACTTATTCAGTAGATAATTTCGATTTGAATACCCATTGATACTGGTACCTAATTAAATCAAAATTGAAAAAGAGTAGTTTTTTAGTTATTAGAATATTTTATATTTTGAAAAATTTTTTTGATTTATTTTCTGGCACCTTATACTCTCTGGTATTTTTCAGTAGATTTTCTTTGGTACTATTACGTAAATTAAGTTGCCTGATCAAATAGAAATGCTTGAACATTTAACACGAGATTAAACCTGTTGTATTTTCTATGGTGTTAACACGATGTTTTCTACCAGAAAAAATTTTCCAGTTAAAGAATGAATTCATTTTCGTTCCTTATAATATTTCTCCATTGACAGAATAAGTCGTTTTTCGTTTATTTAACAATATAAATTTATTCAACTTTATATTACACTTTTTAGTTTAATATTTGTAAATAATATCGGTAAGTAACATAAAGAAAATCAATAAATGTGAACATAATAATAAAATGATAGTGATAACAACAAATAGAGGGTGGCCAAACGACGTTAAGAATTAATAATATTTATGTAAATAAGAAAAAAAACAAATAATTTATATGCGAATTTTTTTCTTCTTTTTGATGACACAACGGCTGCCGTAGTATACAATAGTGCACATGGCTTCCGACAACAGCTCGAATATCGTCCTCCACCGACGGGCCGTTAATTACCCCCGACAACCCGTATAACCTCCTCCACCGACGGGCCGTTTATCCCCCCCCCGACGGCCCGAATACCATCCTCCACCGACGGGCCGTTTATTTCCCCCCGACGGCCCGAATACCGTCCTCCACCGACGGGCCGTTTATTCCCCCCCAACGACCCGAATACCGTCCTCCACCGACGGGCCGTTTATCCCCCCCCCGACGGCCCGAATACCGTCCTCCACCGACGGGCCGTTTATCCCCCCCCCGACGGCCCGTATAACCTCCTCCACCGACGGGCCGTATATTCTCTGCGTCTTGTGAATTTTGTTCGGACGCATCGAAATTCTTAGGCGAGTGGGCGCCTTTTAGTATACGGAGCCGGAGCCGGTTGCCTGTGGAACCCGGTCGACGATAATCGACGGGCGCAAGCCCGCGAAGCCGTCCGGGTCACGACCGCCGGTAGTTTATGAAAACCCGCCGATGTCACAGACTGGATAAACGCGATGTCGTTTGTCTCCGGGATTTCCGATAGGTGCGTTGCAATGTTTCTCTGCTCGAGTAGTTCACCGTCCTCGATTTCTTTAATTTTTCTTCGGATATGCCGGCATACTCTTTCCGGTTCGCCCGGCGCGCACGGCAGAATTCTTATCTTGGCGTTATGGATGCGCTCACCGTCCAGTGACAGAGCACGCACGGCATCCTCGTCGGTACTGATAACAAACATTATTACTGTCGATTAAAACAGACCGTGAACGGAATAAAATACGTCCGGCTAAAGCACAACGCGACGTTTACGCGTCTCGCGTCGCTAACGGATTACACCGCGGAATACCGACTTGAGAGGCGTTTATACCTAATCGCGGGAGACCGGAGAATCGTAAATGGTTTTTTACAATACGGCGTTTCGTATACCTAAAGGTCACATACGCCACTTCATTTTCGCCGCCGATTATTTTAACGCCGCCTTCGGGTATAAAAATCCCACAGAAAAACCGTCTTACGCTAATAGCGGTTGCCGCCCTGGGCAGATTCATTAACTTGACACTATTGGTCGACTTCATGTAGTACCGCGTCTGAAAAACCGAAATAAACGCGTACAAATGAATAATAATGTAAATGCAATATGTATTTTCTCTTTCCGAAGTCCGGTAACGGTCGGACTGATTAAGGGAATCCCATTAAATTCGTGATTTTTAAAACATTTTTTTAAGTCCAGAGAAAAGTACCTGCTTAATTACGCAGCAGTCTATAATCGCATTCTCTTAAGTATTATTACTATTTTTTCACAAATTTGACACTTCTTTTCTTTTGATACTTTAAAAATATTTACGAAAAATTGCGAATTTAATGAAAATAACAAGTTGAGACGTTCACAGTTTCTGAAGAATATTACACTCCATAAAAAGGCTCTCTTCAAATTTTCCAAACATAAACAATAAATAGTTATTTTTTGAAGTGTTTTATCTATACATACAAAATTTAATGAAACACAAAATGTTTGTAGTCCATACACCATTGAATAATGCAACAAAATAAAGACTAATTGAAAAGCTTATTGAGGTAGGTACTATTCTAATAAATTGGTGTTCTCGCGAATCGCGATTTATTTATGTTGAACGTTGTATTACTTGTGTCGGGATTGCCATCTTTACACCGCGATTGTTAATCACGTATTTTATACTCATGATTGTCCGGTTAAATACTTTCAAAAATATAATTTAAAAAATAACTATGTACGAAAAACGATTTGCTCGTATGAAAACAACTTTAATATGATGTTGAAAAAACAAAAAGCGTAGTAGCCGCTATAATATGAAAACAAAAACTGAAATTAAACTTGTTAAGGAAACGCTGAACTCGGAGAAAAGCAAAAAAGTAAGTATAGGTAGTGACGTGTCGACAACGGTTTCGGAATGATTTTATTATTACAACTTTATAGAAACGACAAATTATAATAATAAATACGATTTCAAGTGGTCGCTTGGATACAAAATCATATTGTCGAAAAACAGAAAAACACGAAACCGTATCAATAAATATATTTTCCAGAATATATAAATTTATGCATTTCTAAGGAATTTTTTTCAAACTTTATCACCTTAGTGTGAAATTCGTATATTCTTGGAAATACATCTATTCAACCGCGGGCAGTTTCGTTTAACAATTTAGACTATATAATAGTAAAAGGTTAACGTGTTTCGCGCATTGTAACAGCCGCTGTTGTAGATGGGAAGTTAGGAAGGTAAGTCATACAGACGGTGATTTAATGTACATCTGTAAGCAACGATAAACCATGACTAACGAAAAAACGATTCTGTTTACAGTTATTATACTCAAGGTAACCCATGGGGGACTTCGCCTTCCATGCCCTCCTTATACTAATTTTTAAATAGAATAATATTCAGCGATTAATAATTTACAAAACAAAAGCCTACTTAATAATACTACTGCATGCCAAATTTATTCTGATTTTTAATAAAAATGCACATATTTATTATACGAGATTGAAAGTGTTCTACAAGTGTTTATTTTTATTTTTCTCTATCTTTAAAAAAATTGTCTACCTATTATTTTGCCCAGATTGTCAACTTTAAATACAATGGCTTTTACTAGAAAATAGGTATTGTCTGGTTGGTGTAATGAGATTTTTTTTTATGTTCCTTTTTTTATTCGTAACGGTGAAGAACAAACTGTCTGTTGTATTCGATTTTGTTTTGTTTTATATTCCGGTGAGGAATAATTTTAGAGGCCGACAATTGCATACAACACTTACATATAAATATTTCTTTTTCGAGATTATTTGTTACAATAATAATAATAATAATATTAATTTATTTAAAAGAAGAATAAAACGGACAAAATCTCAACAGTACAGATACGTCAATGTAGACATTATATATTAGGAGATAAAATAATAATATACTAAAATAAAATAAAGTAATCTTACATTATCCGGAATCAAATATCAATATTTAATACTAGTTTAAGTTTACCGCCAAGAGTGAAAAGAAAAATTCCGCATTTGTTGAAAATTTATTAGGGTACATTAAGCCATATCCCTCGGGATATAAGGAGGTATTTTACATCATTTGCACTATAGTTAATTAATCCGAAGCGTTTATTTTACCAATGACTAATATAATAAAAAAAAAAGAAATATCTATTAGATCACGTTTTCTTTTAAACCACTTCATTTAATAATCAATTTGATATGGCTTGTATGTTGAGTATTTATGTATACAAGTTAATTCACGTAAAAAAGATTTTTAAAACGGGGTTAGGTTAGGTTAGGCTATAACACTCATATTCAGTAAGAATTTACTATTTATTTTCTCCGAGTTAACGCAGACCGTATTTGCATCGCCTCTCTTAATGTTCCTCAACTGCTTGCCCTCGTCTCATTCAGTTCCGGCCTATTCTTCCAGAAACTATTCCATCATATTCATTCCGACTCATCTCACATCCTAGAGCTCTATTTACTCTTTTTTTTCGCTCTATGTTTTTACCATACCTTTATGTATGATATACAGGATGATTTACTATGCGTGCACATCTATAAAATGACTCACAACGACGGGCCGTACGGTCCGCATTATATTACAACACCACTGGAGCCGAAGGAAGAGATGGACGAAGGATTGGATTCCGCAGTTTCAGAAATGGTGTGGGGTCTCAAAAAAAAAAAATGTCTTTATAATAATGAATATATTTTACTTCTAAAATAATATTGTGTATAACATGTACTGTAGTTGTATTAAATAAAAAACAGTTTTATTTATTTATTCCTAATTATATATAAGTTTTACAAGATAAGTTTACAATTTTCGTACATCTCCGTTAAATGGATTATAAGCTATAATTTGGTCGCGCAATATTAAACAATAAGCTGACGATTTTGATACGATATTCGTTTGCGTTTCAAATTCTACACGCAAGTCAACGGTCGACAATTGAACACTGTCGTCTTGACGCATCAGGTCCACAACAATTAAGGGGGCGTAGATACGGAATTGTTTTCTAGACAGCGATGGTTTACTATTTTCTCTTTCGTAGTATGATTTTTGAAAATCCGGTATACATTCCATATAGTATTGCGGTTAAGCTGTCGGTGAAATCTGCTCGAAAATTTTCGTACGGGTATACTTCTGAGTTTAAATGAACTTTGAGGTTTTTCAACGAACAGTTATCGAATCGTCCGGACGGGTTCCGCAGGTTGTTTTTCCGGTCGGTTCGAAAACCGATTACGGCTGATCTCGNTGTTTCTAATAAACTGCTAGATTCAACCGTCCAAGAGTGTGAGGTATTTTCCGGGAGAACCGGATATTCACACAAGTCCCACGTTCTGAACGCGCGCGTTAACGGTTTTCGTGAATCCAACACTTTTAAAAGTTTCGATTTCTCCCTATCATTAACTTTGGCGATAGGCATCCCCAAATGTACCTTGCCTAGTTCAATGATTACATATTTAAAATTAGTATTAGTACCATCACCTCCGCCTACAACACGGAGCGCATCAAAATCTGTAGTCGCTCGGTTTAAAATTAGCTCTCGATTACAATTGAGTAATATTTTTTTTTATAATCCTCACAGAAACCGAATAAATATTCTAACGGTTAACAACCAGAAAATTTAATGTCTGGCATAAATTCTTTATTATCGTCTACGTCCGTGTCTACGTCCCAGGCAGCGTTTTGTAGTTCATATGTATCGTCACAGTAGTACAAAATAGCCGGTTCTAAATCAAGGGGACCTATACCTAATACACGGCCGCCCGAATTATCAGCCGTTATCACCGACATCCCCGTTATCACAAATTACACTTATTGTTATACCTTTCGATATCGTGGTTCGTTACCATGGCTACTCTTATCGTTATCAAAGTTATAGTATCACGGTTACACCCGCACTCATCTCGTCATCGCGAGTTATGCCTAATATCTACCGCCATTACAGGATATACTTATCCTTACGCCTTACGTCATCACGATTACTCTTACCGTATTCATCTTATCGCGGTCATACCCGCTGTCATTACGAGATATACGGAATCCATCTTCCCCGGCCGTGTCACACGCACCGCCGTCCACTCCCGGTCGATTTTTTTAACAAAATAATATTACCCGCACGCAATATGATTTGCTGTATTCGTATACGGTACATAACCGCCGTCACAACCCTCCCCCCCACCCCTCGCGTAATGCGAAATCGTTTGTATCCGTGTACCTACACGGAATACAATCGCCGGCGATCCCCGTACCGATCTTGTGAGCATTGCTTACACTCGTTACGCGCGGCAAAGGTTTTTTTTATCTTCGCGAATGACGACATGTACGCGCGCGAATCCCGACTATATTACGCGGCGCACCGCGGGTCCCGTTCCGAGAATCTGTGGTACGAAAATAATTGCGCACGTGCGTACCGTCAGCAGCGCGCACGCGGCGGCGTGTCTTGCGTGCACGAGGACCCGCATGGGGAAAGCGCATCGTTCTCGGTTTTCCCGGCAGATCGTCGGGCGAATTCTTCCCGCGAACGTGAACCGACTCGCGTGGGTATTGGATCGATTGCGATCCGACCGTCAGTAGTGATTTCGCTACAAACCAGCGGCCACCCGTCTTTTCCGGTATTCTCGTCGTTTTCGTTTCGCGTTAATTTTTTTAGATTCTTGCGTACACAACGTTTCCCCCACGCCCCCGTTTAAAAATGTTCGCACGTACCCACGCCGGTCGCGGAAAAGTGTTTTCCACCAAACGCAATACGACTCGCCGCGCTAAAACTCGCGACGGTATTGAATTCCAGTGCGCTCTGTGCCCGAAAATGTTTGCGCGTAATGATGCACGTAACGAGCGGGTTACAATTGTTCGTCCCCGTGTCGCCGCCGTAACCATCGCCCCCATCGCCGCCGCTGGTCCTTCGGTCACCTCCAGCGGTCCGTCACGCGGACGATCACTGGGCGGACAAGTGACGATGAAAATGATGAATTGTTCGTGGAATGTGTGGAAAACAATGTTGACCGAGCCAAGTTTTTTACTATATCCCTCGGTACAATAAGCGATTCGGTTTTTAATTTTTTTTTTTTTTTTTCCGTAGGTAGAAAACGCGTGCATATGACGACTACTACCGCAAAGCCGCAAAAAAGCAAGGATGGATTTAGTGAACGCACCCGGATTTATTGAAATCGATTCTTCTTTCAACCGCAAAATCGTATGGTACTACGTTAAAAAACTCACAAACACGCAAAATTACAGACAATTTTTCCTATCGATCGAACTTGCACTTATAGACCTACTCGAATCATCGGTGCGAAATAATTTCAATCAAATTTAATTTGAAACTGGAAGACACGTATTACAAACCTCACGTCGATAATTCAGCCGAGAACCGAGCGTTCAAGACCTCGGCCAGGCGAGTATTTTGCGATAGCGAAATTGAAGACCTTGTGGATGTGAACAATTTGCAAAATTACTTTCCGAACGAGAAATTTATCATGGACGTGGTAGCGGTTTTTCACTACAGTGTATCGTCGGCCTTTTATTAGGTGTTTACAAATTCCAACCTATGGGTGGCTGATCGCTTATCCAGCTACCCCTCGGCATACAAAATAAAAGAGCCGTCGTCGACCCGAAAAAACACCGACGAGGGATGTTTTAAATGGGCAATATTAGCGAAGCGTGTTACAGGAATAAACAGAGACCACGTCGGTTCAAATTATACCGAACACGAAAATAAATACAATTTCTTCGGGATAACGTTCTCAACCCCGCTTTCGAACGTTAAAAAATTTGTGAAAAATAATAATTCGAACGTGTCCGTAAATGTTTACGGACTGGAGAAACAAGAAAAAACAAAAAAAAAAAAACGGTTTATACCGTTTTTCCGCTTAAAGTGACCGATGCGGAGAAGACGATTATATTTCGTATAGGTGTAGTACGAATGTGAAAAATTTCGTATTACGCAGGGAGGTGGAGACGACGGTTATGTACCGTACACGAATATAACAAATCTTATTGCGTACGAGTAATATTATTTTTTTTTAAATAATCAACCGGGGGAGTAGATGGCGGTGCGTGTGACACAGACGGGGAAGATATATTCCGTATGGGTATACGGAATAGATGCTGCGTAAAAGATATGCGGAAACGTCATTTTGTGATAACAGTAGGTATACCGATATGCGTGTTAGGTAAATCTCGTAATAACAGTAGGTATAACCGTGATAAAATACGGTATTGACTTGTGATAACAGTAGGTATAACGGTAGGTACGATCGTGATAAGATAAAATATTGTATAACTTCTGCGTAATATGATTCGCGTTCTTTATTATTCAGTAAAAAATAAATTATTATTATTAAAATGGTTATCACTTAGACCGCGTATTGTAAAAACAAAAATTTAGTACAATATCTGTAATGTATAGTACCGTTTACGTATAACAATGTAGTCTTTAGATGAGCAACCGAAAGACTATATTATTATACGCTAAGTGAGAGCGGTTAAACTTTCTTTGCGTGAAAATATCTCATTGTTTACCGCACTGTCATTTAAGCGGGAAACAAATGGGAAAAAAAGAGAGGTGTTTTTTTTTTTTATCCCAAACCCGTTCCGATTCATCCCGATCTGGACCGACCGCCGTCGCTGCCGTACGCCGGACCCTGTTCCGTAAACTTTGTACCTGTCGTTCCGCGCGTCTTTATCATCGGCACCCGCCGGCGTTATCGAAACCGGCCGTCCCGCGCGCCCGCCACCCACAGAGTGATATCGTCGCGCGATCCGGTACCGCTCCCCCCGTTCGACCAGTTCGTGTGGTGCGACCTTCGCCGTACGCTCGCGGCGTGTCGCCCGCGTACGGCGCCGCAGTCGCGTTTTGTTTTCCGTAGTCGACCGTTGACGTGGCCGCGGCTTTTGTCGGCTCAGGTTCCGCAGCGAACGCCCGCCCGTCGCGTAATCGCCGGGAGTCGCGCGGACGCCGCACGCGTTGCGGCCCCGACGCCCGAGCCCCGGTTAACGGGTCAGCTCAATCGAGCCCGTTTGTAATCGCCACGTTTCGTCTCGCGCAGTGTACGTGCGCTCGCGGCCCACTCGTATCCGATCTACGCGATTCCGCGCCCGTGCACAGTTGAACGCCGGCTGGTGGGACAATCGTCCCCGGCAGTCCGACCGACCGCAAACGGAGTACGGGGCCAAAGCGTCGCCGCCCCGTGGGACGTTTGTCGCCGTCAATTCGCCACGATCGCCGCTTATCGGCCAAATCACATTGGACCGCCGCCGATAACACCGGGTCGTGATCCGCAATAGCTTTGGTGTAATGTGTTTTTTTTTTTTAATCCATAGGTTAGTGACCGTTTGTTCGTGTACACCCGTTGATCGAGTTACCGATTACGCTGTTATTGTTTACCTTTTGTTAATATTTTCATTTGTATTTATGTATTGCGCGCAAATCTGACTGCAGTCAACCGTGTGCCAACTTATCTCCGTTTCGTATATTTAAATTTGCACATTTATAAGCGTGGTCGTCTAGCCCGTAATCCCCAGACATCCTAACATACATTCGTCTGTTCTCCGACGATGTAGTTGTTGATGCTAACNTAGGAGCATCTCGGCTAAACGAGTAGTCATCCCGCAATTGAATTGATTTATAATGTTCCAACTGTCACTATTGTAGAGCGTATTATTGCAATACGCCTTTGTCGAGTATGATAAAAGTATCGAAAATTGACATCTCTATAGTACTGTCCAATTGAAATTTCCTTTTAGAAACATTGCTGTCATTTAAAATTAGAGCAAAATTTTTGGTAGAAAAGAAGTGTAGGGGAAAAAATACTGGTAATATTTTAATAATATATTTCGTACATTTTCCCGGTTTTATTTTTCGGTTTTTCCCCTCTTTTTGGGAAAACTACCAGAAAAATCAAAAAAGGCTTCCTTGAAGTACCACTCGAAGAAAAAGTTCTGTATCGTATACTTCGGAGTAAATTGTCTGATAGTGAAAGTGATCACATAAAAAAAATAATTATCTTTGTAAAACCAATACATTCATTGCCCCACTCAGAATCTAAAATATCTTCTACGTTTCGGCAAAATGCGCGAGGACTCCGGTGCGGAATTTAATGAATTTGAATGCATTTTTTAATTTATAAACATTTTAACCGTGCATGGTTCACTCCTCGTGAATGCCTAACGGCTATATTATTTGATTGAATGGAATTTGAATGAGTTTTTTTTTTTTTCATATAGCCTACCTGTTCTACACAGTTAAACCATGGAAATGGTTATCAACACTAGTCATCAAAAACCGATAAATAAGGATGAAAACAACCTGCAAGGCTGTACTTCGATATTCTTCGAGTCTCAGGTACGTATTTCTAAGCTGTTTAAACTGTGCGAAAGTTTTAAACGTAAAAGTATTTTCACATGTATAAATTTAGGCGTAAAAAGTTCGGTTGTTTACGATGATTAAAACGATATTTACTACGGATAATTTACATACCCGAGATTATCTAAATCACACGGTGTTTGTTATTCGTTTGTAAAATTAAAATAATAGTACGGACGGGCGGCAATGATATTTTTATTTACAATAATAATGCTAATAGTTTGCATAATGTTGTAACAATTTCTACGGGAATGCGAGTACATTAAAATTAACATAAGTTAACATTTTAAATATACCGATAAAAATTATAAAGACGAGTCTAGAAGGCAAAATAACAAAATAATAATAAAAAAGATAAATAAGGTCAAATCGGCATACCGAAAGTACGAAAACATGACTGCAGGTTTACGTTTATCGATATTTTTCAAGTCGATCACGGGGAATGAAGGTCACGAGTTGAAAACCCCAACGAAATATACACTCGCCGTTAACTAGTATTTGTAATTTCAATAATATTAATTGATTCCCAACAATAAAATGAGATAGGTATTTTTTCAAATATTTCAGCCCTTTCTCACAAAAAATAATGTTTCATTGCATTAGCCGTTTCGAGTACTAGCAATGATAATAATATATGTTCGACTCGTCGACAAATTTATGCACGTTAAATTCGATAAAATTTGGTAACCGTATTGAAATATTAGTGGACAAATTATATGCGTATTATGCCTCTCGTATTGTATTAACATCGACGCGTTAAAATTAGGCGATTGATTGCTATTTATGTATTTATCGTTTGTTCATAAGGATGTTCCATCTACAGACAAGGTGTGCAAAGAAGAATTCGAACAACATAAAAATTGGCGTCTTCGACTGTTGTTAATGAGCAACGATAAATCGTCGCTGGTCCAAATATGTCTGTACAACGCCGTGATTGTAATCTATTTATTAGCCGCTATTAACCACTGGTACAAAAGTGGTAATTAAAAATATACACACATCTATACAATTTAACCTCCTATAATACCTACGTCTTTTTCTCTACCTGCAATGACAAATTGCGTTTAAAATTTGTATTTTATACCACGGAATTCACGAACGGTTATTATAAATTTGATTCGTAGACTCAGAAGACATCGGCTGGAAAAACGGATTGGGTTTGTTAATCATTATCTCTTCGCTTTATTACGGTTTCATAATCATAAGATTACTTTTACGCCCGCTCAGATTTTTGTTCGACATCAAATCCGAAGCTCTGACACCCACGCTTATCAAGTAATTGGATACAAATAATTAAGTACTTATTTATAAATTTCAACGCGTTATAACGTATGTTAGTAATAAAAATAACCCAAAACGATCACTGTTTCAACCCGTTCGGATATACATCTATCTGTTTTTTAATAATATAAAATAATAATGTATTTGAAGGGAATTTCAGAAAAAGCCGAAACCCGGGAACATGGGAAGAGTTAAAAAAATTCTTGGGCTCGTGATTATTTATTTCTTTAGTGTTATGATTAATTAGTTTTAATTTGTAATATAGAAATTAAAAATTAACGTAAAGAGGAATATTAAAAANTCAACGCGTTGGGATATACATCTATCTGTTTTTTAATAATATAAAATAATAATGTGTTTGAAGGGAATTTCAGAAAAAGCCGAACCCCGGGAACATAGGAAGAGGTAAAAAAAAACCACGCGAAATCGCAATATATTTTATAAAATAGGTTTTTGTACTGTTCTTTTTTAACTCAGATAGGTTAAATATTTTTTTTGTTCAATTAAATTAAAGTTATGTTAAAATACTCTATTAACATAATATTATCATAACTTCAATTGATAAGTTAAGATAATTTTTAAAAAAATGTCATTGATTGGTATTAAAAATTAAAATTCCTAATGCGAATGAACAGAATGTCAAATATAACTTATGCAATGTATTTTAAAATCTGTGGAGTAATAACATTTATAGAACTCTAAATTTTAGCGCAAAAGTGATTACTGTATTATTTAACAGTAATAATTAATTAATTTATGAAACATATAACCTAAATAAAGAAGTAAAACAAAAATTTACTTCTTAGTTATAAACTTGTATTTAAAATATCTATTAAATTTTATTAACAGGTAAATGATACTCAGGTAGGTATTATGAATATAATTCTTGGGCTCGTGATTATTTATTTCTTTAGTGTTATGATTAATTAGTTTCAATTTGTTAAAATAGAATTTAAAAATTAACGTAAAAAGGAATATTAAAAATTTTAATTTAAGTTAATTTCAAGATAACGTAGAGGAAAATAAGTGAAATTAAAGTTACGAAAAGTAAAATTGTAACCTAGTATATAAAGTAACTAAGTTGAAACTAAATAAACTTTTGAATTATCAACCGGTCAATGTCAAATGCTTTGATATTATTACGATTAATGATAAAGAAATATGTTCGATATTTAATCTGTAACATAATATTTCCTAAAAGCGATTATTTTTTGTTTTTTTAAGTTGATTATTTTTTATATGTATCTAATAAATGACTGTTGTACATTCAAATCAACATTGTGCATAATATCATCATACGTAAACGACAAGTAATACTCATATATTAATGATTCATTTATGATTTTTAATTTATGCCATAATCATAATAATGCAACAGTTATACATAATAATGGAACGTTTTAAAAACGCATTATGGAACAATGACATATGTCATTAACCTACTCGTNTAAAATACTCTATTAACATAATATTATCATAACTTCAATTAATAAGTTGAGATAATTTTTAAAAAAATGTCATTGATTGGATATTAAAAATTAAAATTCCTAATGCGAATGAACAGAATGTCAAATATAACTTATGCAATGTATTTTAAAATCTGTGGAGCAATAGCATTTACAGAACTCTAAACTTTAGCGCAAAAGTGATTACTGTATTATTTAACATTAATAGTTAATTAATTTACGAAACAAATAACCTAAATAAAGTAGTAAAACAAAAATTTACTTCTTAGTTATAAACTTGTATTTAAAATATTTATTAAATTTTATAAACAGGTAAATGATACTCAGGTAGGTATTATGAATATAATTCTTGGGCTCGTGATTATTTATTTCTTTAGTGTTATGATTAATTAGTTTTAATTTGTTATATAGAAATTAAAAATTAACGTAAAGAGGAATATTAAAAATTTAGATTTTAGTTAATTTCAAGGTAACGTAGAGGCAAATTAGTGAGATTAAAGTTAAGCAAAGTAAAATTGTAAACTAGTATATTAAGTAACAAAGTTCAAACTAACTAAAATTTTGAATTATGAACTGGTCAATGTCCAATTCTTTGATATTATTGAGATNAGTAAAATTGTAAACTAGTATATTAAGTAACAAAGTTCAAACTAACTGAAATTTTGAATTATGAACTGGTCAATGTCCAATTCTTTGATATTATTGAGATTAATGATAAAGAAATATGTTCAATATTTAATCTTTAATAATAAATTTCTGTAAACGCGATTTTTTTTTTTAAGTTGATTATTTTATATTTGAATATAATGAATGACTGTTGTACATTCAAAACAACATTGTGCATAATATCATCATACGTAAACGACAAGTAATACTCATATATTAATGATTCATTTATGATTTTTAATTTATGCCATAATCATAAAAATGCAACAGTTATACATAATAATGGAACGATTTACAAACGCAGTATGGAACAATGACATATGTCATTAACCTACTCGTGTATTCGTAATTTAAAATGTAAATGTTTTACTATGGTTACAATAAATCATATCTGCATGTGTATTAAATCGCATTTTGTCGTCATATTCACAGACAATGCAATTTATCGTATACGACGGTAACGTTTCGAGACGTACAACATTTGAATTTCAATATTTCCTTTTTTTCCTTTTCTATTTCCACTTGCTTCCAGCACCGCTCCTCTTCTCATTTCAAGGCCCGCTTTCGAAATAATTATATATCTTTGTCCGGGAAATCTTCTGGATTATCTTAATTTTATCCAGCATTCCTTGTGAGTCAATACCATTCCTTCCATTATATACGGTTTCTTGCCCATTCTTTTCGTTCACTTTCGCCTGTACTTTAATGTCGGGTTTTCGAAAGGACCGCTAGACTTTCTCACTAGTTCTCGTACGGATACTAATATCACCCATGTTAATATCCACCTACAACTTATAATATATTATTACAATAGAATTTCGTGTGCTGGGATTGTGGTTTTTTTACTATAGGGGCGGAGCGCTATGTGTTTTTTTCGCGTCGTTCGCCGTGTACCTTTTCTTGGACACGCAAAACAACCGGCGTCGTCTGTTGCCGCTGCTCGGGCTCGCCGTGTTCGTCGCCCTCGGGTTCGTGTTTTCCAAGCACCGCNACCATCGGCCTGTTGACGATCAGGTGGCAGATGGGTCGGTACGTCGTTCAGACCGTCGGCGAACTGTCCGAAAAGTTTTTCTCGTTCGCCTATATCGGGGCCGAAGTTACGTACGGCCACGAGTTGGTCGACAATTACGGCGTGTTCGCGTTTAAGGTGAGCGCTTATATCCTATTGTATTATACTACTATACCATTATAATCCATTTTAACAACCCACCGTAGAAATTAAATCCTGATCTGAAAATTTTTATGTTTATTATGTTTAAATGTTTATTTAGGTGTTTCACTGTACAAAATGTGAATTTTCTGGAGAAAAACAAATTAGCACGGATGTAAGACTCGTGCAGTTTATGTGTTATGTTTGGTTTTGACGTTATATATTAAATCTTGTGTTCGGTATTGCTAATGTAAGTACGACAACACTGGCTTGACATTGGTCACGGACGTTTTGAACCTAGTTAAAACTAGTATTTATGTACTGTTTAAACATATGAAATTTTATATCTTCTACGGTTTTGCCTTTAATAGATCCTTTTAAAATGTTTCATTGATTATGATTATCGCGCCAATTTTTAGTTTTTCGAAAATTATTTTAAATTATAAAAGTTCTTGCTCAATTATACTACTATTTTTTTTTTGCCCGTGTCATTTGCGCGTAATTTATTACTGTACAAGTTAAATTTCAATTTTGTATATAATATTACAACGTAGTTTTCAATTTTATTGCAGGTACTTTCGGTATTATTTTTTATGTGTTTTGTCATAGAAATATTATTTTACTATGGAATAATTCAGAAGATAGTAATAAATTTAGGATGGTGCCTGCAAAAATTACTAGGAACGACAGCGGCCGAATCGGTAAATACGTGCGCCAGTGTGTTTTTGGGTATGGTAAGTGATTCATTTGTTTAATAAGTAATAATATTAGTTGAGAATTAAAAACATTTATTTCTTTTGTTTAACTTATTCCATACTCATAGTATAAACCTAACTTCTTCTAACCCAACAATATTATTCTTAGCAAAAAATATATAAATTCTATCTATTCAAAAGTATATAATAATATTGATAATAGTTTTTTTTTTCTTATATCTCAATAGGGAATCTGTTTTTTTTTTTGAAACCAGATTTACTATTTTGAGAATTGTATAAACACTTATGTGGATTCGTATTTGTTTAGTATATGAATAATAAAACCACGTATAGATATCTAATTTATTCGTTAAATTATCAATGCTAAATTATATCTGCACAAATAAAACAAATTGCATAACGTTATTATAAATACAGATGTCTATATGGTTAGACAGTTCACGTGATACTGACAATAATATTGGAGTACCCATTGAATTTGATTTTTTTTTTTTTTATTATAATTTTAACTAGAAGACGTCGTGTAATCTGAAGCGAAAAGCAAAAATAATAATATTATTTACTCGACATCTTACATTTTATTTTTAAAGAAATGAGTGGAGATAGACACAGTGGAAATAAAAATAAAATTAGTATAATTTTCTTAGCTTTTTCATTTAATTCCTCACACTGTTTGGTTTCTATACGTTACGTCAATATGATAATATGATGCCATAAGTAAATCATTCCCCTTGGCGATATCACGAGGAAAAATATATCAACCGAAAACTTCATTAATTAATTATAACTACAAGACTAATTTGAGACAGAATATTTCGAAGTTATAAGCAAATAAATAATAGATAATAGTCTTATAATTAGGTTGGGAAATTTGATGTATATCTGTAAGTTATGATTAACTATCTTGCAAAACGATTCTGAACAGAGTCCGGATATTAGCGATGCTTTATCAGCGACACGTATACGTCATATTATGACAAAATAATATAACATATGTATTATATAAATTGTTTAATTATATTTGATTAATATTGTACCTATTTTTCCAGTTTTCCTACGCTTTTCTCAGCTTTTAACTATTTTTTATGAAAACAGCTGGGGAAATCAGATTTCCTCAGAAAAGAAGTGTTACAATTGGAAATCTGAGCAAAATTGCTAGTAGAAAAATTGTTCATAGATAAAAAAAATAATAAATATCGTTGTAAAACTAATGCATTTCTCCCTCTCTTTAGAACCTAATACACATAATATTGCAATTTAGTGTTCGAAAATATAAATCTACTGAATACAATTAAGAAATGTTTATTCACAAATAAATATTATCATATATTTGTGTATTGGTGTTTCTTTTCTAATGTTTATAATTATATCTTAAAATTCCTTCCATAAAAGGAACACAAATACACCGTATAGGTATTATTAAGATTCTTAGAGAAGCCTGTGTACAATTTGATAAATTATTATTGTTATGCATATTTGTCCAAATAAAATTCTGTTCATGTCAAAATAAGGGACATATATTAAGGAGAAAAATCAATATAATTCAGATGAGGTTTCAACCTCCCCTTTATCCTGTGTCCGTTTCCGAATTGCATAATTTATTTGAATTTAAA